TAAAAGGTTGCGAGTTCGATTCCTGGGCAGGACACATGCCTGGGTTGTGGGCCAGGTCCCCAGTTGGGGGAGTGTAAGAAGCAGCAGATTGATGTTTCTCCCCCTCTCTTTCTCGCTCCCTTCCCCTCTCTCTAAAAATAAATAAATAAAACCTTAAAAAAGAAGAGTTTCTCTTGCTGTTCCACAATCCATTCAGTTTTAGCCACCCAGTCTACTACTTAGTAAACAATTGATGATTATATTAAGAGATTCTAGTCAAAAAAGTACAAATGCCAACAAACATATAGACATGTGTTCAACTTCAATTCAATGAAATATAAAAATAACACAGCCAAAGTATCATTTTCACATACCAGATGAGACAAAGTTCAAAAGACTGATAATGTTTAATGTTGGCAAGTATAGCAAAGAAAGCAAGTACTCTAAAAAAGAATTGGTAATCAAAATACAAATCAGTGCAGCCACAATCCTAAGGAGGGCAATTCAGCCTTACCTATCGATCAAAATTTAAAGCGCACATCCCCTTTCATGCAGCAATACCATTTCTAGGACTTTATCCTAAGGAAATAATCTGACAAATAGGTAAAAATCCACGTACAAAGTTGTCCATCACAGCCAAAAATTTAGAAATAACCTAAGTGTACATCATGAAAGATTTGCTTAATATAGCATAGGTCATTCAAACACAATTTACTTAACATTAGTGAGAAGCTATTTATTTTAGCCCCTTCCAGTTTAGTATAAATTCCTTTAAGTGTATTTTCTGGTCATTTAGCTAACTTATCATTAAAATATAAAATTTTAGACACTGGGAGAAAAACATAATTTAAATGTTAAAATGGTTGTATGGAGCTATAATTACCAAAAGGAAAATGTATCCATAATATTTTTAGGTATAATAAAAAGGTTAGCTTTAAAAAAAGGTATAGATGAAATGACTTTTTGTTAAAAAATGCATATTTGCGAGTATGTGTGTGCATTCTTTTAAGAATAGATTGTGATTGATTTTGCTTTGGCATGATGCATAGCACAAATAAATGGGTGATATCCAAATATAATATCTCTATTGTATTTGGAGATATCCAAATACAGTATCATGAGGGGAACAAAGGTACATCTTGAGGAAATAACATATTCATCTGTGTGCTGGTAAATATTTAACAACCGGCCTTCAGGTGAGGCAGGGTGAGAGTCCTAGTTACCGATTTTTACGGCAAATACTCCCAACATTACTCATTTTAAGCTACTACTGTGATGTCACTGAATGCAGTGTCAGGAAGAAATGTACAGCAGCGCACCATTGCGTAGTGTTTCCATGATTCTTATACAACAGATGCAAATAGTTGCAAGAGTATAGATAATGTTAAAATGCAGTAAACGAATTAGAAAATGATGAGTCTTGTGCATGCATTTTCTATAAGTCTGGAAGGAGTGTCACTAATATAATAATATTGATCATGTCTGAGTAGAAATTCCATGAATCATATTTACTTCATTCTTTAGATCGTCATAGGTCATTTTAATATTTTTAATTAATTTCTTTTATTTTAATATTTTTACCATAAACATGTTATCTTTATAATCAGAAAAAATAATCCAAGGTGTTTATTTTTTCTTATTTCTTAAAACCTAAGAAAGAAAAAAATATCAAGGAATATTACTTTTAACACAAGTCTTACTGGAGCAAAACACTTTTCTAAACGGAGTTCGATTTCACTAAGGTGTCACTAAGGATAATGGTGAGCAATGTCTGAATCAATTACACCATGATATGCCAAAGGAGGGAGGGAGGGGGGAGGGGGAAGGTGGTGGGGGAAAGACAGAGACAAATGTATTTGAAAAAATAAAGAAAATAAATTAAATGAGAATGTTAGCAGAAAAAAAAATTACGCCATGATATCTTTGTTCAGACATGCTGGAAGGGAATGAGCATTCAGTGTTTCTAAAGCCTTTTGAAATATAAATATGCAACATCAGAATTCAAAGTCCTTTTGATACTATCACAGAAACCAAATCCTGAGTCAGATAGATGGTATCCTAAGGCAGACACTACAAGGCAGGCTATAAGGTGACTCAGCTCCTCTCCATTTATAAATGTTCTCCATAGCTTGTCATCAAAGTGTATATTCCTTACTTGTCATTATTTAATGAGAAGAGATGACCTCATTTTTGGAAGCAGTATTCATTTGATTGGCTAATTGCTGAAACCCTGACTCTTTCCTCTTTGTTTAGGTAATAGCAGCTTACACTTCTCCAGAATTTTATACTTCTCAAAACACTTCCACACAGATTACCTCAGTTGTATTTCACAAGAGTGCTATGAGACAGGCAAGGTGAAAAGGACCACTCTTATTTTACAGATAGGAAAGCCTAAGGCTAGAGCGGGCAAGTGGCTAGCTCAGGGCTAATGGGAGTGAAGTGCCCGGTCTGGTCCTGGTGTTCGTCTGGGATCGGTTTCATCTCCGAGGCCTTTCTCAGTCATCTGGGTGAACTTTCTCTGACGGTCAGTGTCTCCCCTTTCCTTCCTTGTCCCTTTAACAAATTCTGTCTTTCTTCAGTCCCTATCTCATTTTGTACTTAAGTTTGTTACTTTCAGGTCACTCAGAGTTGCTCTTTAGTTTCTGTTTCTTTTATTCTAGAATGATAGTCCCAAGCATCTTTAGCCCTGGAAATAGTCCTGTTCTTCTCTATTTGACACGACGGCTAACCCCTAGAGTGCTGTTTTCTCTTGAAATTTGAAGTCATTTCTACCATCAGGGGAATGACTTCCACAAAGGGCCAGTGTATATTATAAAGCAAAAACTGTGAACACTTTGCTATGACACATTGATAGATAATCTTGTCTTTCTCGAAGGCTTAACATTGAAGTCTTAGGAGACAGGCTTACACAGAAAACACTAATCATATATAACTGAATAGATCCGGGAGAATCTAAGATCATATGTTCTCCTAAGCTTTGTTTTATTAGGGGAGGGAATGGGCCCTGTTAAGAGTACAATGTCTTCGAAAAGAACTGAAAAGTGTATCAGTAAGCTATGTTCTGGTCCAGAGACAAAAGAGCTACCAACTTATACTAAACCTTTGTGGTGCTTCAGCTCCTGAATTTATGCAACCTTAGACTGGCAAATTCTCAAGTATATTAGTTTCCTCATAGTTAAAATAAGAATCATAATGCCTACTTCACAGGATGCAGGGACAACTAAATTAGCTAGTAGCTTAAAATATATCTCATACACTAAAAATCACTGTGAAGACACATGGAATCCATTTCAGATATCTTGATAATTTTTGAAGTTTACTGCTCTGGGCGAGGGGAGTGGAGTAGCTCATTAAAAACGGACAGAGTGTCAGATTGCAACAGGCAGGTGGCCAGGTTTTTCTAGGCAGAACAGGATGCATACTAATTGCTGCACCTCCACTGAGACTCTGGCCAAGTGACTCCTCTCCAGAAAACAGTGTCCCTTTCTATATCAGAGGCTCTCTCCAAATGGGGCTTTCATCTTCATATAGAATGAGCGGACACCCTGTTGCTTTGGGGAGCAGGGGCGGGGGTGGGGCAGCAGGAGGGTGCCATTATGAAGACAAATGTTAAAAAATTGCTTTACAAGAACGTGTAAACTCCAGAAGGGATAGTAGTCTCACTAGAATTAAAAATGTCTACTTACAAGTACACTCTTAATGACTCTTGAATGAAAAATTGTCAAAGAGCAGAAATAAGTGTATGGGGAAAACATAGGTACGTTTTGATCTGATAATTTGAGGGAGGATTTAAAAAATTAGAGAGAAGGAGTCCCTGTCTTCTGGTTAATAGAATTTAAGATAGGAATCAAATTTTCAACTTAAGATAGAGAATAAAGAAAACACTTTGGAAAAGTCAAAATAGGGTCAGAAGGTCATTCCTGATGACATTTGTGTAGGACCAAGAGGCAATTGCCATTTGACAGTCAAATTTAAAAAGTAAGGAGATAGTTAAGAAAGCCACATAAATTTGGGTGCCTTATATTCCCTTATAATTTTTTAGCTTTGAGAGCAGAAGGAATCTACTCTTGAAGGTTCAAAAAATGTTGTTGCTATAGGAACAGGTAAGCAGATTACACTTGAAACAGCAGTTAGAGAACAAAGAATTTAATAGGCAGGACTGAAGCAAATAACCAAGAAAACATTTTAAGTAAATATCTTTTAGGTTTGTTATTTACATATTAATTCCAATGCTATTTATTATAGAATCAGAGTATCACATTTTAATTACATCATTACTGGCATAAAAAAAGTATGCTTACACAATTAGCAGAAAGACCTTATTAAACAGAATATGCATTTCTAACTCTCTCTTGATTACACTGTAATTAAGAAAACAGCTTTGAATTCAGCAAGAGTATAAGAATCATCTTTGATTTTCCTACAGTTCCCCAGATGGGAACACATCTAAGATAAAAGAGAACGTGAACTACAGAAAGTTTTCTCTAACCAAACTCTATAACTACAGAGCTATAGGTAAAATACTAGAAGTAAACAGAAATGTGTGCAGGCTGATAATATTTAATATTTTATATGTTTTTACTGCCCGACAGTATTTCTGAACATAGATCTGTGAGAAGAGAAAAAGGTCAAAGTCCCAGCTGCACTCATACTTCCCTGTTTATGCTCTGCTTCTTCCCATCAGAGAATATACTGCTCCCAACCCTAGGAATTTGCTGAAATTATTAGGAGTTTTGAACAGAATTTGCTTGGCTGGTAAGGCTCAAAAATGCCTTATAAATGGGTATTGTATTTTAAAAAGAAAACATTCTTGATAAAATGAATACAATATTTTCAGTGTAGCATATTTGTGCTGGCAGAGGTTACCTTTATGGGTCAGAAAGATTTCTCAGACATAACTTTTTCTCACATAATACCAGAATCAGATTGCAGAGGAGTGTGTGTGTGTGTGTGTGTGTGCGCGCGTGCATTGAAAGCTGGGGAACCAGAATAGGAAGAGATTAATGTGATTAGAATCTTACCATTTCATTCTCTTCTCCTTCGTTGAGCAAAGCATGTTTGCCCTTCTCAAAGTGGTTCTCCATGAAAAAGTGGTTCCACGCCTCCTCCCTGATCTTCCCAGAGCAGATGCTTCCAGGACCAACTTGCGGAGCCGCCGGCAGCGTCTCCAGCTGACTGCAAGAGTTAATGATTCTTCAGGTTAAAACTCCTTGAGTACACACCTTCACTCAGCAAATGCCAATGCTTAGCAAACTGAACTAACTCCTCCCATGAGTCACCCTCTGCTCAGAGGACTTTCTGTCTGCTCTTTGCTTGCTGCATTCTGACAGAGTGGCTGTCCCAAAGGAGGCCGCTCCCATGCTGATCTTTTTGTGCCCAACTTACAGGGAAAGAACTCATTGCCTGCCCAGTGCCTGCCAGCATAGGACATCTGACTGCAAATCCAGCTGGACAATGCAGAGCTGGCAGGACCTTCTGAGGAACCGGGCAGACTCAAGAACTCCCAGGTCACTGCTTTATTCACAGAGGCTAAGAAACTGGGGTTGGAGCAAGGCTAACAGCGCTGCAGGTGTTATTTGATTAAAGAAAGCCCCAGTCCATTGACTTCTAATGGTATCTGCACTCATTTTACTTACAAAAGGTACAAATTATGACTTCAAAAGGTATTTGTAATCGCATTTCTTTGTGTATGCAAAAAGCATTCTGCTTAATGTACATGTGAAATTAAGTTTACTTTTGTGAAAAACGTGTAAAGAAAGATCAAAGATATAATCAAACTATTTTATGTGGTCTTCTTTTACTAAAATATTGGTAGTTAAATGCTTAAGGAGGTCTAGAAATAAAATAATCAGGTGACTATGTGGCAAAAATCATTTTTTAACTTATTCACACATTCATTCAATACACATTATTTGAGCACAGTGACTATATATGTAAAGTGTCATATTTGCTACCTTCAGACCGATGTAGGGATTTTTTTTTATAGTATTTCAATTTCTTTTCCATTGTTATATTATTATTTTTTAAGTATTTTATTTATTTATTTATTTATTTATTTATTTATTTATTTATTTATTTTTAGAGACAGGAAGGGAGGGAGAAAGAGAGGGAGAGAAACATCCATGTGTGGTTGCATCTCGTGCATCCTCTTCTGAGGACCTGGCCTGCAACCCAGGCGTGTGCCCTCACTGGGAATCAAACTAGCAACTCTTTTTGGTTCGCAGACCAGCGCTCAATCCTCTGAGCCACACCAGCTAGGGCTGATGTAAGGATTTAAATATGCAAATAAATACAGTAGAAGGTGATTAGCTATTATGAAAGCCAAAATGGCATTTGTAATCATATTTCTTTGTGTTTGCAAAAGTGTCTACTTAATGTGTATGTGGAATTAAGTTTACTTTTGTGAAAACATGTAAAGAAAGAACAAAGATATAATCAAACTATTCTATGCAGTCTCCTTTCACTAAAATACTGGTTGTTAAACTCTTAAGAAGGTCTAGAAATAAAATACTCTTCCAACAACAGAGTTATTAATCCTGTTTCAAAGATGAGCAATTTTTGCAGCCTTGCACAAGCTCCTCCAGCTAGTTGTAGATCCTGGCTTCAGGATTTGGGGTGACTACAAACCCTGAACGCAGTCATGTATTATTACATAATGACCTTTTAGTCAACACAGACCTCTTATACTACAGCGGCCCCATAAGATTATAGTGGAATTTAAAACCCTATTGTCTACTAACATGTAGGCATTGTAGCCATCGTAATGCCACAGCTCAATACATTACTCACTTGTTTGGATTGACGCTGGTGTAAACAATCCAACTGCACTGCCTGTCATATAAAAGTATAGCACATACGAATGTGTACAGTACTAAATGTTTGATAATGATAACAAATGACTATATTACTGGTTTATGCATTTACTGTACTTTTTATCATTATGTTATTGTGTACTCTTGCTTCTTAAAAAAGAAAAGGTTTGCTGTAAACAGTATGCCGCATTATGCTGACAGCAGCCCCATATACCTTGTTTTTACCGTATCTCTGGTTTGCAGCATTTTCCCTTGTGCTTGATTCATTCTCCCCATCGTTAAGGAGCACCTGACTGTGCTCCAGAGATAGTGGCTGAAGTGTCCATTATTGCCCACAATTAGGATGAAAGAGTTTCCTTTACTATATTTTTCTCTCAGAGAAAGCAGATTTTGTCATGAAGTCAATTGTTTGCCCAAGCTCTTCCACAGTCAAAGGGGATGTTTTGGGTATCCTCACTTTCCCAAGGGTGCCTGGGCCTGGGATCTAGGCAGGCTGCTCTGCACTGGCTCACAAGGTCAGAGGAAGGGAGTCAATCCAGAGGACACTGGGCAAGCTTCAAATAGGACCAGGGCTAATCAGAGCTGAGAAAGGCAGGGGCTGGTGGGGAGCAAAGAGCAGCGCAGGAAGCCAGAAACTTCCTGGAGGAGGACAGAGGCCTAACGCATGGTAGCTAAGCTATCATTTTTCAGGGCTGTTCAGGAAATTTCATGGATCCTTAATGAGGACTTGTTTCCTGCCACAAAGAGAAGTTCACAAGTTCTTTACTTGGATATATTCTGTGTAATTTAATAAACTTGCATTACATTTCCAGTTCCTCATCTTAAGAAATAATATTAACTCCTAGTTCATGGGCCGTGCCAAAGAGATTGACAGTGTAAAGCTCCCAATGGGGACAGGCAAGGAAGCTGGGCTCAGTAGACGTTAAGCAGAATTTAAAGAAATTATGCTCTAGCAAAAAATGTTTTGAATTACATTTTCTTATTATGGCATTAAAGTATGTTTATTGTGGAAAATTAGATGATACAGACAAGTGAACCAAGCAAAAAATGAATTCCCCTACTCAGAGATAGTCAGAATTTTGCTGTATTTTTCCTTTTTTCTTTTTGTTTATGCACCCATGGATAATACTGGGCTAGTGTTACAAATAATAATTTGCATCTTGTTTTTCACAATATTTTATTACTTTTTTCATGTTATTAACCATTCTTGAAAATTTTGATATTCAACAGATGCATAATATTCTGTCATATTTGATATGTTCCATTTGAACTACACTGTGATAAATTTCTGTATATGTATATTTTGAATACAGCCAAGATTATTCCTTTACAAACAATTTCTAAAGATGAAATAAAGTGGCGATAACTAAAGTAACTGCCTTATAGAGTTGAAGGCAGGAAAATGATGTACGTACGTTAAACAACTTACAGCGGTGTTTGGTACATAGCAAGTATTCAGTGAATGTTAGGTATGATTACTGTAAGTACACTCATATTCTCCTTGATAAATATTAACAAATAATCTTTCAGAAAACTTTTCATTCTTAGCATAGTCGTGTCATCAAATATTTTAATAATAATCAAAAATAATGTGAACCACAGCACTAGGCTTTATGAATGACATATGGGTTAAGAGATGGAATCTGACTAAAGCGACTGAAGAAATTTGCAGCAGGCCTCCCAAAGAGTGAGTAAAATGGGTGAGAAATATCATGGAAAGGAATGATAAGGCAAATGTTGCCATTGAGTCTAATGGAAGTATGACCAAAGTTTATGCCAGGATAGTGCATGTCTGTACATGTATGTGTGTGCATGCTTGTGGGGGGGGGGGGGATAGATTATGGTAGAAGGCTCTCATGAAGCCTAACAACTTCTTTGGGCAGGGAGGCCCCAGAAGATCAGGGGAGCCCACACAGAAGCAGTCACAGATTATTGAGGGCAGAATATAAGCTGACAGAAGTCATCCGTGCTATGAGAAAGCAGGCAGACCAGAAACATGGAATGTTTGATTGTGGAGAAAGTATAAGCCAGAGACCACCTGTTCTATCATAGGGGTTAAAAAGAGTACAGCAAAAAGAAAAAAGAAAAAAGAAAAAAAACCCTGAGGATTCAAAATGTACTAATCAATGAGATAGTACATTTCATTAAGTACACTGGAATTTAGGGCAGTAGCAAAAAGAGTACATTAAGAGAACAAAGGCAGGCACATGGCCTTCTGAGAACTATGGTCTAAAGTGCATTCATGTTACCTGGAAGAGAAGAAAGCACTTTGTCTTGCTCCTTCCAGCAACCTCACAGGTTTGTGAGTGGGAGACCCAGGTGCACCACTCTATACTGCTTTCACTTCTGTTAACTCATATGACACCCACTCTTTGGCAGCCTCATGACCTCCCTTCATGGAGCACTTAACTGTGTCAAGCAGCACTAAGCACTTTAAAATATCACAAGGATGGGGAAAATAGTATCCATCTCATGTTACAGGTGAGAAAACTGAGGCTCAGAGCAATGAACTGATTTTGTTCAAGATCACACTGTGGGAGAATGAGAGGCAGGAAGTGAATGTGTTTCCCATCTTTTATTCCAAAATATTTGACCATTTAATAATTTTTAGTATGCAAGCTCCTGGATGCTGAACACCGACTGGAAATGGTGTCTTTTGCAGGGACACTGGAAGTGGGGAGGAGAGGAAGGCTGGGACACCTGAGGAGGGAACACGTGGATTGGAATCCCCAGCCAATCCCCAAAGCTTCTTCCAATGCCAAGATGATCTGGTTCTGAATTTTTCTCATTTAAAAATCTGGAGTTGCCCACATTAGACAGTGGGCTGGCACTGCAACTGCCCTCCTGAGTCTGGCACCCTTAACTACCCCTTCCAGTGTTAAGAACTTCACAGAAGTCAGAATACCCAATAAGAGCAAATGCTGGCCACATGTTGACTCCGTACTAAGCGCCTAGCTCCATGTCAACTCTGAGAGATGTATTGGAGGTTAAAAAATCTGTACTAGACCACTCTGATACTAAATGGCAAGGCAATTGTTGGAACCCAAGCTCTCAGACACTGAGGCTCATTCTCTTCTCTATTGAAGTACCATTGAATTCTATTAAACTGAACGTACATAAAGTATGAAGCATGTCAGAGGTACACCTGTGGAAACATCACCACAATCAAAAGGATTGAAGCCCTTACTCCCAAACTACTAGGGAGAGGCTTCCTCTTGTTAATTCCAGTTCTTCCCTTGGTTTCACTAGATCAGTGCCAACCCTATCCTTCTATATGACAAGCAGTCATGTGTTTGAAGATGACCAACGTGTGCTTCCTAAATTTCCTGTTCCCAACATAAACTCCTTCATGAGTGCCTGCAAATGCATTTCAT